TCCAGAGGCGCTTTAAGAAACCCTCAGAAACCGAACTGCCCCTACGTGAGAAAGCTTCCGATACCTCCCGTTAAATGCCTGAAACGCGACAGATGACAAGTACCACAACTGACAGAAAGTGCCGCCATCGCTTTATTGATTCCAGCTCTGAGGGAAAAATAGTGTAATTTACCCATGTGCCTCCTCCCGCCACGCTGCACGCAGCAGGGAGAGCCGGTCTGAGGCGAGAGATAAACGTGTTTGTGCGCAGCACCTCAGCCCTGGATTCACCGAGGTGAAGAACCGGCACGAGGAGCTGAGCGCGGGGACAAGAAGCGGAAAAGGCTGCCCGGGAAAAGAGACCGAGGAGAGCTTCTGGAGAGACAGAGGCATCCTGCTCCCGGCTTCACAGGCCCTGCACGCCGCAGGCGCTCAGAGCTGCAGCACTCGTGGCTGACTTGCAGGTTCGTAAGCAGAGCAACTGGTTTCCTCGACCTGCAGATGCCACTGATAGAGTCCCACGGGATTAGGCTGCACCTCTGAGCCTCCTGCTTCAGCCACAGACAGGTTTAGTGTTTCGGAGGAGGAGGGGGGCCAAGCAGCCCGCAATCAAGATACGAGGACAGAGGCTCCTATTCACAGCTGTGATTTCTGTCTTGAGGCTGCACAATTCTAGCCCAGTAATGCAGCTCTGCCAGGCACGGCGTGTCCAGCTGCGCTCCCAGTCAGTGTAAGGCAGAAAGACTGTTTCCACTGGGGTATCTATCCCCTTCTCCACTCTCAGGGGGAGAGTTGGTGAACAGGGGAAGGAAACAGCCCGAGCTGTAACAGACGGAAAAATTTAAGGCAATTAGCTCCTGGCTTCAGCCCTGTAGCAGATTCCTGGCCACAATCATCCGCATCACCTCATTGGTACCTGCAGCAAGACAGAGGATGCACAAGACAGACAGTTAAGAGATGGTCCAGTTTTGCCCCAATAAAAATAAAGAGAATTCTTCCCTGATCTGCAGTCTGCAGCACAGAAAAACCCACCAGCTGAGGTGCTGTTTAGGAGGTGTTGGGCCAAAATACAACTTCCAGGTGCCAGCACATGTCTCAGGAAAGGCTTCTTTTTAGTTAGGCATTGTGAGGATGTGGGCACCAGATGGATCCAAGGATCCAAGCAAAACTGGATATATACCAACATCAGTGTTCTCTGCTGTACTGTTTTACACATTTACAGAGAGAGAAAGACTGTAGATGCACTCAGTCCCTTATCAGGAACCCTGGTTATAAGTGAAGGGATTTCAGAAGGAGGAAAAGAAAATGGGTAGGGGGCTGAAATGAGATTAGAAAAGGCCAGACGGTGTTAGAGACAATGTCAAAGGGTGAAGATAGATGAGAATCACAGGAAAGGAGTTGTTGGGGAGAATCAGCACACATCTGCAAGAGCAATGGGATGAAACTGGACAGAGGCACTGCTAACATGACAACTAGGTATCTCCCCCTGCTGCAAGACTCTTAAAACAGTAACTGCTCCAACACACCAGGAGCTCTAGGCCCAGGGATTCACACACGTGATATTCAGCGACACCTGGTGCTCAGAGTGAAACGGGATTCTGAAACGCAAGACTCAGGGAGCTATGTAGGAAGAAAGTGGGGTCTTCTGGAGGGCCTGTTCTCTCCTGGCTTCACTGCCAAGTCACTGGTCTAAGAGTGTCTTTTACCTTCCAGGATCTGGTGGACTCTGATGTCTCGCACAAACTGCTGCACAGCGTAATCCTTCAGGTAGCCGTAGCCCCCGTGCATCTGTAGAGCCTGGTTACAGATCTAAGAAGACAGCATCGCTGGTGTCAAGGACAAGTCAGTGACAGAAGCTGGGTAAGAACCCAGGAACCTGGGCTTACTTTTTTTTCTCTGGTCACCTAATCTCTTTGAACGAAGTGTGGTGTGACAGCAAGGTGCTCTCAGTCTCCACCAGAGCTGCTCTCAGTGCTATCACGTTACCGAAGTGCTGTTTCACATTAATGGTGCATTTATGTGAACGTGATAGCATGGAAATTCCCAGGAAACGCTTAACTAAGGCAATTTTTGCTGCATTTCCATGGTGCTACTGATGCGAAGAGCAAACCACCAGATCACCATCTAGTGGTCAGTCAGTCAGGAGAGGGATCTGTTCAGGGCCTCTCTTCATACTGAAACATGACTCCTACATCATTTATTGGTCAACTTGGGACATAAAAGCATAAATGGCAAAAATGCAGAGTGCTGAGAACTGTGGAGAGGATAATCATGCAGACAGAACTGCATCCCATAAAACATCTTGGCCCTGAAATGAGGCTTCTGGCTCAATGAGGTGTCTGGGTCACTACACTGTCAAACTTCTTTCTGACATCCTGGGCACCAAGAGGGGTGTTCCAGTTATGACACCAACTGATACCTGAGTAACTTACCGCAAAGCATTCATCAGTAGCAAAGAGCTTGGCCATGGAGCACAGCACTGCCGCGTCCTCCCGCCCCTCCTGCAGCGCCCGTGCTGCGTTGCGAACCATGAGCCGTGCTGCCACCAGGCGCGTGGCCATCTCCGCCAGCCCAAACTGCAGGAACTGCCAGCAGGAAGCATGAGGGGAAAAATTAAGTCAGCATCTTCAGAGGGGCCCGGGGCCTGAACCACATTCCCACTACCTTCAGGCAGGTCTCAGGCCTTACACGCCTCCTTACTCGGGAAAAAACATGTTCCTGACTTCTCCAGGAAAGACCCTGTGAGTCCCCAGAGTGTTGTGACTTCTGGCTGCTTGTTCAGCCAGGATCAGAAAGAGCACGGCTCTGGGACTGCCAATCCGATGGAGAGGTTACCTGATTGTTTGCTAGGGGTTCTCCAAACTGTTTGCGGACAGTGAGATGTTCCTGAGCCAGAAGAACAGAGGCATGAGCAGCTCCTAAGGAACAAGAAGCTGGTGGGAGAAGCCAAGGACACAGTGTGAATATGTAGGTAAAGCAGATGGGTGACAAGACAATCCTGCACCCCCTCCCTTGGCTCTCAGCTGTCTTTCTTACCAATGTTTATCCTGCCTCCGTTCAGTCCCTTCATGGCAATGCTGAAGCCCTGCCCTTCAGCTCCCAGCCGGTTGGCAACAGGAACAGCACAGTCCTCGAAGATCACAGCCCGAGTTGGCTGGGAATTCCAGCCCACCTGGGAAAAAAATAGAGCACCTTCCAGACTGCCTGAGAGGCGGCACACGCACACAGAACTGCCCAGCCGGCTCCCAACCCCTTGGTCTCATGGCCAAGCTGCCACAGAGCATCTGTGGTCCACGTGGTTTGGCCTCAGTGTGCTGAGTGGGAAGCTGGAATGCGTGTATTTGAGAGGAGGCACACATCCACTGAACTCTGATGTTCCAGGGTTCTGGAGATTCTTCACTTACCAAACGGACAGGTATTGTGCATGGAAAAAACACGCCAGGTCAGGACTCCGGTCCCATCCAAGAAAGGATCCCTAATGCTTTGCCCAGACAAGCTCATCTCTGTCCTGCACTTCCCTCAAGCACACAGGAAAGAAAAACCTCTTACCTTCTTCTCTTTCTTGCCAAAGCTGAGCCCCGGAGTCCCCTTCTCCAGCACCAGGCAGGAGATGCCCTTGGGGCCTGGGCCTCCTGTGCGACACATGACCACGTACACGTCGGTGTCACCTCCCCCGCTGATGAAGGCCTGCAGAAGGGCACAAGAAGAAAGGGGTGGCTTTTGGATGCTAACCACGAGCCTGCAGAAGCTGGGGTACAAGGACAGAGGGGCAAAGACCCCACAGCCACGAGGTATTTAGGGACTCAACTGTACTAATCTCTGCTGAATGCTCTGCAGAGCATGTCCTGCCTTGGGAGAACAGAGACGAGGAGACAGTAGGAAACGGAAAGGACAGTGAGACCCAGGCCCCGTTGTGCATGCAGTGCCATCCAGCAGCTTTAGGAGGAGCAGAGAGGTACCTTGGAGCCATTCAGGATATAGGTGTCCCCTTTCCTCTGAGCTGAGGTCAACAGGGAAGCAGCATCACTTCCACTTCCTGTTCGAGAGGGAAGGAAGCAGCCGGTGAAGCAGGAGGCCCAGAGCCTACAAAATCTCCTGGGGATCACACCCAGCGACACTCGAGTTTGTACCACAAGCATCTCGGCAATCATCATCTGCCCTTTCCCAACGCTCCAATGACTACCCAAACCAAACGTTTCACCTCCGGCTCCGTGCAATGTTCCTGTCCAGTTAAAACACGTCAGGAGTGAGGAAAGAGAGTTCTTGGTTGAGGACGCTCACCTGGCTCAGTCAGGCAGTAAGAAGCAAATTTTTCCATGCTACAGAGTGACGGGCAGAACTTTCGCCTCTGTTCCTCGTTGCCAAAGGTGTCGATCATCCAAACACACATGCTGGAGCAGGAAAGAAGGAGCAGCGTTACAGTACGTGAGCACAGCCCTGGGAGGAAGATGGGTTACGCAGGAACATCCCTGGCTGAACAGAAGAATGAAGCTCCATGGGCTTCAGTCAAAAGCACTGAGCCTTGAAAATGTCTTGCTCCACCTCGACACAGAACAAAATTACGTGCCAAAGCAGCCAGGAGGAAGAAGATCGCCTCCCATTCACCACAGCCTTGCTGCCTCGTGGAACAACAGGTTCCTATTTAATAGCTGCAGTGTTCCACTCGCCGCTAAGCCCTGACTGTGTCTTCAGAAAACAGGACCTGGAAGAAGGAGGCATCATCACTCCAGCTTTCTGTGCAAAGTGAGCCCGTCACTGAACATGTCTGTACAAGCAGCACAGGGCCTTGGTGTCAGCTGCTGCCTCCGGGCTCTGTGACAGTGTGAGCACAGCACAAAGGCTTTTTCCAGGCAGGTTACTATCTATAGACAGCTTAAGTGGAAGAGCAGGGAACAAAATCCAGAACTTAATCTCATCTTGCATGCCACAACGCTAAAGTTACTTCTTGGCGGCATCTCAGTTTTTGTGGTCTGTTTGTTTACTGCCACTGAGAGATCCTCACAGGGATGTGTCTACTCGGGGTCCCGACTTTAAGAAATAAGCAGCACCAAGAGAGCTGTCTCCAGCTGGATTTAGAGCCCACAGAACAACCGTGGTTTTCAGCCAGGCTGACACCAACCACCACAGACACACTCACTTGTGGATGCTCATGTAAGCCGTGGTGCTGGTACATCCTGTTGATAAAGCTTCAAAGATGATGGAGGTATCAAGTCGTGACAACCCGGAGCCACCGACGTCTGGTTTCACATAGATGCCACCGAATCCCAGCTGGGCTGCCTTCCGCATTGTTTCCACGGGAAATATCTCCTGTTGGGACAGGCAGAGACATCACAAGTGAATAGTCATGAACCATTTAATCTCAGTATTCAGTCTCCTCTTTCTGGTACACCTGGGCTACCAAGTCCAGTCCAAACTCCTGCAGACTTTAAGTTATGTAGGTGGATTAAAGAAAAGGCAAGTACCTAGACAGATATATACTATCTTCAGGAGCAAATTCAGGTTTTCAGATGACTGAAAAGCCTGGCTAGGAAAAGGTTTGAGGAATTTCTGATGGCTTCCCACCCCAGCTACAGCAGCTGCTTCAAAAAAAACCTCCACAGATGGCATTACAGCACCGAGGAGCTACCAGAGGAACCCTCTGCTGAGACCCAAGGATCATAATAACATCGTAAGGGAGGACAAAGTGAGCGGCACAACTCTCCTGAGGCTGTCATACCTTCTCATCCCACTCAGCCATGTGAGGAGCCATCTCCTTAGTAGCAAAATCAAAGGCAACTTGCTGGAATTCCTTCTGCTCCTCAGTCAGGCCGGCGGATGCTAGAAAAGCAGCAAGAGATCAGGATGCGTGTCTGTTGTGGGAGGGCGAGCACCAGCACCTCTTCTGTCCCCCAGCCAATCTCCAAGGGTCTCTTAACTCACACAAACAGTTCAGGGTCTCTGCTGCACAGCTTCTGGGTTCCTCGGGCCGTGGGGCACTGTGCTGGCAGGGGGCAGCGGGCTTCGGAGGGGGCTTTCTTAGGCCAAAACTAACCCAAACTCCCACGTACTCCCTGTCTACCTGGACGGGGCAGCACAGTCCCCGACAGCTGTGACCATCTGACAGGGTCTGTGCCGCCTAAACACCAGGACACAGTCCTG